TCCTCTGCACATTTCAAGAAGCAACATGCATAGTAAGATAACTACTTTTTAAAAATGTTTTTAACTGAGAGTTTGTGTGTGAGACACACTATTAATGGTTCACTATAACTGGCCTCTGGTCTTAATACTGGTAGGAGAGGTTTAAGTCAATTTCTGTCAATATCATGGACTGTGACATTTATAGGAAATCTGGCTGAGCGGAGGTATGTGTTTCTGTATGTGTGTGTGTGTCAATTATTGTTCATTTTTAGATTGTCACATTGTCACATTTTGTAGAGAGAGAGAGAGAGGGGGGGGGGGGGGGGTCGGGGGACATACACCCAGCATGTGTTATGTATGATGTGGCTCTTTGCAGTAACGCAGGAAAATTATTGGCTCTTTACCTCTGATTGGTTGGCCACCCCTGCTCTAGACTTACAGTGCAAATACGTAACTTGCTCGCACTAAAGTTATTAAGACTATGTAACCCTCAGTTCACCACAAACCGTGGACAAATATGGACATGTTTATCTTCAATCTGTGTTTGCATGTGTGTTTGTGTGTCTGTGTGCTCACTGTATGTGGTTTGTAACGAGGTTATTTCATGTGTCTAATAAAGGCGGGCCCCTACGGTTCGGAATACCTTCTACGACGTGCTAATCCATTGTTATGTAATAAGGGGGATACACACACACACACTGTCATGCCCATACACATACTGAATAGCTTCCAAATACAGTTAATGATGTGCCTGAGAGTGTTTATTCTGCGTGCATTGCAAGGCTGCAGAAACGTTAACAAACAGCTGCCAGAAAAGTCATGGAAGAATGCAAAAGGAAAACAATTCATGCTGTAAAAGTGCCTTGAAAGAAAGCATAGTTGAAATAGCTCCACAAATAAATAATGAAGATTAGGAACAAGCTCAGATAAACAAAATGATGTAACCTGCTATTGTTTATGAGACTGTAAGAAAGGAGGGAGCTCCAGATTGTTTCATGTTTTTTCCAGGACTGTGAAATATAGACTAGTTTCCATGTTATGAGAGAAAGACTCTCCAACATGTTAAACTATAAAAATATGTTTTACTGCTTGATTCAGTTTGTGCCTTGTATTTGGTTAACACAGCTATCAAATGTTTAATATCAACTACAAGACTATAGCCTTTTTTCAGACAGTTGAATATGTAAAAATGCTTTTTATGTCTTTTAAAGTGATGGGTTTTTGTCAGAGTGTAGAAACTGTTGATCAGGTCAACCCCCTTTTGCCCGTGTGAGACAAATAGTTTCTATAGATCATTTTTCTTTTATTATTTCTTTGTGAGTGAGAAAGTGAATTCAGAAAGTGCGTCTTTACCATCTTTGGTAGCAACTTTACACAGGAAGGCCTCTGTGTTTACTGTAAGTCTTTTTTCTCTTTTGTCTGTCTCGTCTTCCTAATATTCATCTGTTTATCTAACTGTTTCTTCTTCCCTCTCATGCTGCTCTTTCCCACAACCCCTCTCTCTGACCCCTTCGCTCCTATCTTTTTTGTGTTGTCCCAGTCTTCTCTGTTTTTCAATGTCTTTTTTCTTTATTTATGTGTCCCTTACTCGTCCTCTCATCCCTTTCCCGCTCTTGTTGCTTCTTTCTTTTCTTTCAAATCTGTTTTTCTGACTTTTTTTAACCTTTTCTCTTTCCTTCCCCGTCATCTCTCCATTCTTCTCTCAGATGAAAAGGAGGATGTCACCATGGGGAGTCGGCTTTGGAAGTGGGCGCAGGTCAGTCATTTTGACCCCTGACCCTCTGACCTTGAACTTAATACTTACACAAGAAATTGTCTTTCCGCTTGACTTAAGGACTTTTCATTTTGGGAATCAGCCCTCTTGCTGAGAATTAGATGAGAAGATTGATCACACAATCATATATGTGTGTTAAGTATGGAGGGAGAGGCGGGAGTCAATTCGCTTGTTGTAGGCTATTTAGCTAGCGGCAAGTTGTTTAAGTAGGCTACATAAATCCTTGTGAAACAAAAATGTGCTGTTTTTACACATCTATTTACTGTATGAATGGTTGTCACTAAGAGGATACCATGTTTTAATTAAAGAGCTTTCTAGGTGTATTCAGACTTTTTAACTTTGAAGGGAGTCAGGCTAGTTGTTTCACCTAGCTTGCAGTCTTATGCTTGCGTAAGCTAACTGCCTCTTAGCTTCTGCTCCTTACTCGACGCACAGACAGAGGAGGGGTATTCATTTTATCTTAATCCCATCATATCATGTATTTTGTTTTTGCTATGTGTGTAAAATGTAATTTTCTTAAATGTTTTATGTGAGGGATGGAAATTAGCTCAAAGCTAAATCTGGCACTGTTACGCTTGACACCTTTTAATGTCTTAAGTGTTCATTACTGTGCATTGTCCCTGCCAAATAAAATGAAAAACAACTAAACTATTCCTTATAAAGGTTAGCAGGTGTACCAGCATTTTTTATTATCGGGCATCATACTGTAGAATATCACCACAAAACCTCTCAACAAACGTTTGAACTATGTTAAATCTTGTGTACGTTCCCACTCAGTACATTTTAAAATGTCAATTATTGAGTCTTTGCCTTTTGTGGTTTGTTCCCTACTGATAGAACATGTAGCCCTGTGTTGTTATTTGGTGTCAAGTTTTCATTCTCCCTAGGCACTGTTCCTGAGTTCATATCATAGACAACATATTATATGAATGTCTGTATTTATCTGTGTTTGTGTCTGTGTATCAGTATCTGTTTCCTAGAGATATTATTAGGGCTGTGTGTGTGTGTGTGTGTGTGTGTGTGGTGTGTGTGTGTGTGTGTGTGTGTGTGTGTGTGTGTGTGTGTGTGTGTGTGTGTGTGTGTGTGTGTGTGTGTGTGTGTGTGTGTGTGTGTGTGTGTGTGTGTGTGTGTGTGTGTGTGTGTGTGTGTGTGTGTGTGGTGTGTGTGTGTGTGTGTGTGTGTGTGTGTGTGTGTGTGTGTGTGTGTGTGTGTGTGTGTGTGTGTGTGTGTGTGTGTGTGTGTGTGTGTGTGTGTGTGTGTGTGTGTGTGTGTGTGTGTGTGTGTGTGTGTGTGTGTGTGTGTGTGTGTGTGGTGAACTATTGACTAGTGTATTCCTGTGGCATCAGACAGGAAATGGATTTGTCCAGCACTCATAACAGCAGCAACAACATCAGTGTGTGTCTGTTTATGACCATGTGATACAATAATCCAAATATGGAAATACTGTTAATGCCACGGTTTATTTAGGAAGTGATTTCACAGTTATAGTTTAATTCAGTTGTTTTTCTCTCTGATGTATGATGATTCTCATGACCAGTATTAGGATGATGATCATAGCCAATGGTTGCATAACGGTAATACTGAAGGAAGCTGCAGCACGTCAACAAACTCTGGAATGTTCCATCCGTTTCTATAATAAAAACTAACTGTAAACATAGTGACAAGAAGCTCTCCAGACACTTCATTAATGGAGACAAAGAGCCTCTACACTAATAACAAACTGGGAAAACATGGCTGTCTTGTAAGCTTTCTTAAAGTTACAATCATTTTTCAGTACGTTTTAGGATGTGTTCAGACCAAAACCGAAACCTGAATTGTGCCCTGTTTTAGCGCTGCAATTATGGCCAGTGGTGTTTTTTTAGAATATTGAACATCTCTCTAATATTCGTAAACATCAGTACCCTTTTCTTAAAAAATGAAGATGGATTTACTTTCAGGCCACCTTTATAAACACATGTTTTTCCTGAACTTACTGTGGATGCCTTGACTTTGCCCTTTTTTTTCTTTTGTTGCAGTGCTCTGGTTGAGTCATAACAATGCCGATTGCTGAAAGACGACAACAATAACTTTTATTATTTATTTTCTAAATCTCTGTAATGCCAGAAGAATGTTATCCCTGATATACATCACACACATCAAGTTTGGTGCAAACTATTCAATTTCTCTATGCTTTTGTATTCATAGTACTTTAAGAGCATTGGTTTACTGTTAGCTAACAAAGTGGAGCTGTCTCGAATAAGAGACAGCAGATGGTTCAGCATTTAGGAGCTGAACTATCACACGGCCTTTCAACTTCCTGTCTGCTGCACAAGGATTATTAATAGTCCTGTGGAGTAAAATCATGCAATAGATTAAAAACTCCAAAACATACTGTTTTGTTTATTGTGATTACTTATTAAAAGAGCAGTATCCAATAGAAACCTCTTTTGATGTCTTGTAAAGGTTCACGGCAGTGTTATTACCTCCATTCTGTTGCACAATTCGAGCAATAACAAGACATCAGTTTGAAATGTGATTTCCATGTGTTTGAGTTTGTTTTACTGGTTGCTGGGCACCTGCTGGTGTTAAGACAGAAGTAGATGGCAGAGCAGAGCATTGGAAACATAGCTGACATGCCTCTGCTGAGACTGTTTGGATTGAAGTGAAGGATTGGACTGGAGATTTAAATCAGACTGAAGTGAAACATGACATCTAGAGTTTAAGGACCAAGCTGAACTTTGACCCCCACAAGACCCACTTCACATGTTCATCTTTGAGGAAGATACTTTATAAGGAAGCTGCTTGTCATAGACATATATGATACTTAAACATTTATTTGTTTTGTTATTTTATCTCCCATTGTAAAGCGTCCTTGGGTTTCTTGAAAGGCGCTATGCAAATCTAAATTATTATTATTATTAAATGTACTCTCACTGTGCAGTACTGTGTTATTGCAGATTTTGCCACCCGCTCATGGTAAGAAACTTTTACAGGCAGTCAGGACACTCCCAATCCGGACCTTAACCAGATTAATATACAGCGAGTCTGATCACAGTACTGCCACACAAATATGAAACCAGACAGGTGTAATAGATGGGGAAAAACAGTTTTTAGTTCATGCTTTTTGGTTTCCTAAAATACTAAACAAGCCCTAGCATTCTCCCTCACCTTTTCTAGGAATGTATCAGTGTACTGCTGTGTTGTGCTCACAGTATAAATCTTTATTGAGGAAAAGTGATGCTCATCAGTCTCTCTCCCTGTCTCGCAGCAGTGACGGCGCTGCCATGGCGTCAGGACCTCCGGAGGGGATGGCCAATCAGGAGCCTGCTGAGGTTGCGGAGGAGTGCTCAGGTAAAGTTTTGATTAAATGTTCAGTTAAAAGTTTTCATGTGATTTCAGTGGAAAAAGGAACAAAAGACTAAAGATTATTCATAATGTAAAATTGGTCGAGATCAATGACTTTAATAATGAAAAAACTATGTTTGAATCTCTGCATTTTTAAAAAAAGTGTTCAACTTTATACAGTATTTTTGGATGGGACCTAATAATTGGTGAACACAAGTGATTTTAAAAAAAACAAGATCTTTGACTCCGCATGTGATATGAGGACACAATGGTTTCTCAGGACCTGCTACCCAAAGCTAAATAAGGGATAATTAGCCAATTAGTACATGCTTACTCAGCTAATAAATTAATAATTTTACACAACATTTAGTTTTTAACAGGATTTTATATATTTTAAAATGACAGTTTTTCTTCCACTTAAAAAAAATAGTCTGTTCCACTGCCAAGCAACATCTGAACTGCGATCACAGCGACGTAACTTAAAATCGAGATTTTCTATAACTGTCCAAATCTGTTCACAGTTTATTTTCCATTAACCAGTCTTTCAACAACACCAGAGCCTATACCGTGATCTTATTAGTGTGTATTCCTGTCTGTCTTCTTCTGCTGTTCCCTTTAGTGTTTACTTCTTGTCTGTTTTCTTGTGCTAAAGTCCCTGTCCTCCAGCTCTCTCTGTCTTTGAACCTCTTTCCTTCTCTTGTTCTCTTTTCTTTCCTTTACTGGGGACAGTTTAACCATCATGAATCTAAAGTTTTGTGCTCTCCTCAAATCTAAACATTTAATTGCGCAGAGCGCCCTTAGCAGCGATCTGCTACCGAAAAGAGCAGACCTCTCATTGTCTAGATCGACCAATCAGAATCAAACATTCAACTAAGCTGTGTAATAAGACAAAAATAACAAACTATATTATTGGGAGAATGGGTGGGTACTAGTACTGTATGAAATCTACGTCATATCAGCGTTATGTTGACTGTGTACACACAGACACAGCAGAGAAGATCAGGCTAGCTTTAGATCTCATGGCTGCCGTTGGCAGGAAATGAAGGAACACAGAAAGCTATCATCATCTCACACACACATACACACACACAAACCCAGATGCACACTGTCGATACAGATGGAGAGCATGCTGCTGATATAATTGAACCAGTGAGAAGTGCATTCAGAGGTCAGAAAAATGTGTGTGTGTGTGGGTGAAAACACAGCAGGAATTTTTAGCTGAAGTACGCCTGGGATTATCGAACAGGCCAACTAAGTGGAAACAGTCTCTCTGCCCGAGCTTAATTCTGACTTTTCAGTGGAAATCTATTATTGCAGGAAACAGACCATTAGCACTTAGTGTGGTGAGTGATTTCTATTTGACTGGTATGATAGAGCTGCCAGCAGGCGTGACTCCACAGATCACTGAGTCTGCCACTCATGTCCGTCTCAATGTGTCCGAGTCAACCCAGTGATGGTGCCAGGCCAGCAGAGAGCTGCAGTTTCAGAGGGTCAGACTCTGTTCATAGAAATTATACAATGTTAGGCCTGCTGGCCTCATAAGAAAAAATGCCAGAAACAAATTATCAAGAATTCACATGGATTATTTAGTAAAGTCCTACTGAACTTTTAATTAATTTTGGTGAATAAAACCTTCACTGGTGGTGTTTCCATTTAGTTACAAAAAGTGCATTTATTTATATTAATGTTTTTGACCCAGCTATTTTAACACTTGTGATATACTGATTTGAGCTTTATTTGCCAATTCAGATATTACAAATCTAACCTGCCAAGGTGGAGATATTTTAGGTTCCCTCTTTTTCTCTCTCGCATTGTTTCCCTCAAAGGTCACCATCTTCTCAGTTTGTTATCTCAGGTCAGTACTCCCCTGATGATGTTATTTTTATTATGAGAGTGTAGCCATGTTTTTAACTGAGAGAATGTACAGTATTTTGGTGAATATCAGCATCTTAGCCCTTCAATTACCATAGAGCTGCACTGACCTTTCATTGAAGTGGTGGCCTTTTTAAACTCTCAGAGAGCAGACTTTTAACTTAAGAGTGCATTGTGCCTAAAATAGTGATTGAAATGGCTCCGTTGGATGGCGTTTCCTCCTGTTTTTTTCATCTTGGCAGCGCAGAAAGGCTTCATAAAAGTTTGTTTGAAGCTCTGCAATAACACAAAGCAGTTTACTTTAAAGTCTGGACAAAAGAGAGGAGAATTTGCCAACATGCTTTACAGAAAGTGGATGAAAATGGCATTATCTTGTGTCAGGTGCTTTATGTAGACAATTTGTTTGCATAATATGTGTGACTTGTTTAGTTACATGTACCTATGATACAGAATGAATAAAGAAATTAGCTCAATCATTTTGACAAGTGTTCTTTAAGAAATGACCCAGAAATGTTAAGCAGCACAAGGTTGAGATTCCAGACATTTTTCAGTGTGATTTAGTTCCAACCAGAAGGTGTATTTTTAGAGAAAGGAAGGAATGCTCAAGGATTCCCTGCAGGCAGAAAGACAGAAATTACACAGCAAGTATGAAAAGAATCTGTCTCTTTTATGTATCGTCTGAAGTGTTTTGTTGACTTAGGGTTAAAAAAATAGTTGGTTCACATTTTTATTTTATTATTGTTCACTGCTCCTTTCCATTTAGTTTCCTTCTGTTTTGTGTCTCAACACGATCCAGACTGTGGAGATTATTTATTCCATTATTATTTCTCCATTGGGGTTGCTCCACATTAGATAACATTGAAACAATGACGATGGGTCTGTGGTGCTATGAATCTGTAGATGCAGACCATCTTTAAAAGTGTTGCACTTCTATATATACTATTGTAGGACTCACAATGGACATTAGAAAATACATTTCTTATTTTTGATCCCTTTTCCTTTGTAAAAACTGCTGACAATACCCACGATGCAATCTCTATAAACAGATAATGAGTTTCTCTTTGTAGTACATTTGCAGACCTTTTGTACTCCAAGCAGTAATGACCAATCACATTGAGGTGGCATGGCTGCATGCAGTTAAAAAGTCAGTGTGGAGAGCAAATGCAATCTCCAAACCCATCGGCTAATGGTCCAACAACAATGACACTCTTAGTGATAACGGACACTATCTTTCAGAAAACTTCTAGTCCACATGCTAATAAAAAGCTAGATCCTGTTCAGAAAATAGCCAATGTGTTCTGAGATTGCATTAATTCCTGTTTGTGTAAAACATGCAACACTCTGAAGGTTGTTCGACGACAAACACTGTATAGTGGTTTGGTAAACAGTCGAAAAACTGCATTCTGCATTTTTGCAAAAAACTGTTTATTTCTGCTTTAAAGTTGGGTCTTTTACTTTTTCTTGGGGCCAGCCTCAAGTGTCCAATGAACTATAGTTTTTTGCACTTCAGTAGCCCTGTTGAATGTGGGATGGAGAATTGACCAGGGGGCATTTCAAGTGTTGGATGACCACCTTGCTGACTGAAAGCAGTGTAAGCTCTGTAGCTGTTTAAGGAGTTATAAAGGAGTTGTTGAGTTTTTCCACTGTGGTGCTAATGGAGCTAGACTCACTAGGGGGGAGGGTTTACAAGCTCAGGAGAGTGTGCGTGTTTGTATCTGTCTTTATATATGCCAGTCTTGGTGTGTAGTTTCTCCAGGGATGCATACCTGGGAATTTACAGCCACGTGGAGCTCACTGCTGAAACTAGAGTTCATATGAGGGCAGTGTGTAAAGAAGCTGTGTGTGTAATTGTCTCGTTAACAGATAACACAGTTAATTGTAAAGCTAGAGTGCGTCAGGAGAAAGTATCCGTAACAGGGTTGAATTAGATTATTTCATTTCCTCTCTTTTCTCATGTGTCTTCACAGGAAAGAAGAAGTCCAAGTTCCAGACGTTTAAAAAAATATTTGCAAGGAAGAAGAGAAAGGAGCCGCCAGCAGCAGGAGCAGATGCTGGGCTCAAAGCCAGCGAATCAACTGACAATGTCGGCAAAACCTCCGAAAATAACACCCTCACTCGATCAGAGAAGGGATCTGGGTAAGATCAGACACAGATAGACAAAAACACACACCAACTGTGACGGCAACACTTTTATTGGCACAGTTTATACACTCTAAAAGAAAATACACCGGCTCTACTTAAATAAATTGAGGTAACAATTTGCGTTGATCTTTTTAAGTATTTCCAATTTAATCGATTATTAAGTTAATCCGAGTACCCATTTATAATCTGATTAACTCAATTAGTTCAGTACTACAAACATAATTGCTTTCACCTTTAAAAACTAAATTAAGTTGAACCAACTTAATTTTAATCGTAAAGATGGAGTGATATTAACTTGCATTTTGTTTTAATTTAAGCATTTATTTATTTAAGTCCATACTACTCAAAAATGTCCATGCTGTTACCTTAATTTGTTTGAGTATTAGAAACTAATTTATTTGAGTCAAAAATAATATACACATTTAAAGGTGGGGTAGGTAAGTTTGAGAAACCGGCTCGAGATACACTTTTTGTTATATTCCATGGAATGCTCTTAACATCCCGATAGCAATGAATATCTTACAGTAAGTGCTTTGACAAAAAATCCATTAAAAAATGTCATCTGTGGAAGCCGTAGTACTGTAAAAAGCACGACCAATCATCTGAGCCGGCCCGGCTAAAATAACTGGATGGCCTACCTGCCTGTCAGCCTTCCATCTGTGCACTAACTTATCTCGTGCCCTCATTGGTCATGCGCGCGTTCGTGTGTGTGGAGGAGGGGCTCTGTAAGGAAGTGGCAGATTTTTTCCGGCTGTGTATTTTCAAATTCTAGCGCACTCGAGCTGGTTCCTCCAAAATTACCTACCCCACCTTTAAGTTCCACTTTTTAACAGTTTATTTTAAAATGTTCTTTACACAATGACATTTTTATAACAAATGTTCTCAAACATGAAATAAAAGTAAATACAACAAATTAAAATAAAGGTATGAACCTGCTTCAACGTTTTTAACATCTGTTTTAGGTAGTCCAGGTTGAGTGCGTTAGCCCCATTAGCATGGCACAGGGTCTTGTCGCATCCGAGATCTGAAGGACTTCTGTTCCTTCAATCACTATTCTTGCATCCGCACCCCTGGCCAAGACAATCTTCAGCACCTCATTGCTAACTTCCACTTCACCATCCTGGAATAAGTAGATTAGAAAATACATTTCAGTGTTTTTGGTGCAATCAGATTTGAAAACATTGCATTGTGTTTCAGGTTAACAAGTTACAGTATGATTTAAGCATCGTCTTTACTTCCTTGAAGAGATCCTCATGTTCACGAACACACACCACCAAGCATCTCTTATTCTTTCCACCGAATCATCCTTAAAAGGAGAACATTTTAATGTTGAGAATTATATATATGAGAATATTTATTTTAAATTAGTTTATGTCAAATGTAACGTTAATTCTAACAAGAAAAAAATGTATATATATATACATACTGTATTACCAATAATGAACTTTGACTGCAACTGTGAAACAAAGGATACAGGAGGATACAAACAGCTAGCTAATCATATGCTATGCATGCTACAGTAGCTTAAAACAAGTAGCTAATGACTACCTTACAGCTTGTGTTACACTGTATATGCAGTAAGCAGCTGTTGTAAATTAAGCTGAACAAAAATGGCTACTTACCAGGTAACTTGGTAGATTATTATGTTAAAATCCTGTTGTTCCACTGCTACCAAGTGTTCCGCTTCCAGGATGAATGCAGATTGCTCCAACTCAACATTCGGTCTAAGAGTCCAGGCGTGTGTTCAGTTTTGAAACCAAACCGTTGAAACTCAATAGATATGAGTTACTCTAACTTAATATATCCATATAGTTGAGTGAACGCAGAAATATTTTTTCAAAATCATTACATTTGTAAGTTACATTTTTTTTGTTCTTTTTCAGTTTGACAGACTTATTAAAATAACTTGAGGTAAAAAACTAAAAATGTTATGTTGAAAAAGTATGTATTTTTAAGTGGAATCTTCTAACCCCATGAATCGTTTTTTAGAATGTACATCGACACAGTTTAATGTGCCTGTTGACAAGACTAAGAAATAGATTCAAATACTTCTATGTGTTTCTTAATGGTTTTAAGATCCTTTAAAAAACAGAACAGCTCACTAAATGCATTTTGGGTGAACTAGAAAGCTTTTTTCTTTATGCAGCAAATTCAATATCCTTCACATGGGAATTCATATAAAGATTTACTCTGCCCTTAGAGGCAAGTGAGAAATAATATTCTGGTGAACCATTTTCTTGGTCAAATGGTAAATGGACTTCATTTATATAGTGCTTTTCCAGTTTTTCACGACCCCTCAAAGAGCTTTACATTTACAAGACAACGTTCACCCATTTATACAGAGGCTGCCATACAAGGGGCCACCTGCTTCTCATACCATGCCATCGGGAGCAATTTGGTGTTAAATATCTTGTCCAGGGATGCATCAGCATTACACAACCTTGCCATTGTTAGACTACCACACCACCTCACAGCCACAGAGGCATGTTTTCTCTCCTGTGTTTTGACTTAAGTACAGAGATAATCTTCCCTTAATTGCTTTTTTCATTTGTGAAACAGGTGGTGAAAAGTTTCAACAAACTCTTTTTTTCTTGTTTATTTTTCCATCTGTGAAAATAAATAATTAAATAATTATGAAAGATTATGCCAGCAAACAACTTTTTCAACCTGTTCTGACAAACACAGAAGAGAAAATTATTTTACTAAAGAAATGCAGCACCTCTTTTAATAATAATAATAATAATAATTCCTTACATTTATTATAGCACTTTTTCCAGATGCTCAAAGCGCTTTACAAATACACATTACACATATCATACATGCAATGGTCACCACTGTGGACAATACCCACAGAAACCAGAGCCCAGTTTGATCTGATTGGTCAACCGCTTCGATATGTCCTGAACAATGTATTGCCAGCAAGTTACGCGCAAGTGTTATGTAGTGATGTCATTATGTTATGGGGGAAAAAACGAGTCCAATGGAGGTGTTTCTGGGATGGGGAAAGTGTTTGGGAGAGAAACTCCCTCTGGAGGGTACTTTGGGATTTTAGCCTTTGCAGACCATTTACATGCACAAAAAGCTATATAACACACTACATGAAAGGGAGAACCCCAAAAAGTAAAATAGGGCCTCTTTAGGTTATTTTGATTACTCTGATTACTTCCATTGCAGTCGTTTTACTGTGCTGCACATTTTAAACCTTCACGGTTTTTTAAAACTTTTGTGCAAATCTATAAGTGTTTTTCTCATAAATCAATTTGTTTCAGGCTAGAAAAGCCATTCAAAAGACATTTAGTCAATGTAGTCCTCTTGAACCAAAGCCAATTCAATAGTTTTTGATGGGTTGGCCGACCTTCCCAATGAAATATGAATCCAGTTGTGGCAATATCATCTTCTTTTTTATTAATATTCCCTAAACGTTACTCTTTTTTATCCAGCCACCACTATTTGTCAACCACAAGCATTTCAAGAGGTTCACCAAAAAAAGCAAAGCTGCTGTTAGTAGACACCATTTCATTTGCCTGCAGTAATATGTTTATATTACATTTGTTTGATTTCCTCAGCCTATTTAGATACATATCTCCTCTTGTGTAGAAAAGACAGAGATACTTAAAAAAGGAAGACGTTGTTTAACATCCAATTCCTGTTCATCCTAAGCTTAGGCTTGTGGCTTCCTGTTTTTGTTTCAAATAGTGGAGTTTGTCTTCCTGTGGACAGTGCTGATTTCCTTTTGTTTTCCCAAGCTGTGGCACTTCCTGCCTCGTCTACTCTTGACTTTTCCTCATAGTCACAAGATATATCTGCACCAATTTGACTGAAGCCCTTCTGTGTTAATTGTCAAAGTGCATTAATTGGAATGGCCAAATGTTGTTGGACAGCAAACAAGAACAGAAAGGAGATTATCGATTAATTTTGAATGATTTTCTTTTGTGAAAAACTGGCAACAACTTACCATTAAGGGTCAATTATTTGTTTTAAACCTCTGACCCATCGGGCCTACCAACATGCAGTTCTCTTCCTTCTGTTTGTTATGTTTCAGAATCTGTGAAACATCACTTTCTGCTTTGTTTATATCTTCCTGTTCCCCAAAGGTCAAAGATCAGCCTGGGCGGAAAGGCCTTGTCCCATGACTCTGTCTTTGTTTCGGACTCATCGGAGACCAACAATGCTCTGGGGGCATCTCAGGAGAGCATCCACGGGAAAGTGAAATCACTACAGGTAAATACTTATAAATAACCTAAGTGGTCCTTTAAGTTTGAGATACGTATCAAACAGAGTGGCCACGTTTCAGTTCCTGTCACAACAAGTTGTAGTCTCTTCCTGGAGAAGAATAATGACCCTGACCTCCAAGTGCATGTTAAGACAAGCAAGGAATTGAAAGAGAAAGAATTTGACTGCAGGTTAATGACGCATAATAGGCAAATAAAGACTCACAACCTGTGTGTTTGGGAGTTCTGTGACCCTTTGCTGATCTGATACAAGCTGATCTGCTGTCAATTTATCCAGAGAAGCAGTGCTGATGTGTGTCACAAAGGGTGGTGTTTGTCACAGCAAAGTAAAGGAGTGGATGATGAAAATAAAAGCAGACAGTCGCTCAAATGTCTGTCACAACAACGGGCTAAAACGGGAAGACTCGAGAGCCAGACAGATGGACTGACCTCAAGTTAAACTGCTCCACTAAGCCAACTTTAGGGGAGTGAGAATTATACAGCATCTTAAGGGGATTTGCTCAAAAGGAAAACTTTCTCCTGTGGCTATAACACTGCTCTAGAAAAGGGATTAGTTTAAAGACAACACAGCAACCACACAGGTGATCATTCATAATAATTAAAAAATTGTACAAGTATGTAGATTAGATAGAAGTAAACCCTTGAGGCATAGGCGGATTTTGCGGGGGGGCATTGCCTCCCCTAGTGGCTGAAATATGTTACAGCATTACTACTTCTAAAACTGTTCCAATACAAATATTTCGTATATCAATATTTTAATAGATGTAATATAATAATTGTTACAATACAAATCTGAATAATATCATATTTTGTTTGAAATTATTTCATTTTTGAGCAGTCGCATGTTGTGACGTGTGTGTGTGTGATGTGTGTGTGTGACCTATGAGGTTAAGGACACAAGTTCCCTCGCTTTTTTTTTTACATACAAGTGATTCAGCTATTGTATTATAATAAGATATGCGGCGATTTTTAAAACGTCCAATTTCTGGGACGTTTAAGGCGTCTACTTCTGCACTAAGTAGGACACTGGTTAATAATATTGTAGCGTGTTCAAGTAACCAAGGGATATAGTCAGGGGTGCACATAACTTTTTTGCCCTGGTTCTCAAAGGAGCACTTGGAGATGTTGCTTGGTGCTCATCCTTAAAATGAAATAAACCGTAACTTTTGAGGGGGTCTTGACTTTATTTGCCAGACACACGGCACTGAACACACGTGCAGAGGTGAACACAGAACACACATGCAGAGGTGAACACAAGACAACATTAGCACGACCAGTAATCCTACAAGCTGTCCCTCCTGACTGTTCTCCTCACTGTCTTCCTCTCTGTCAGACATGGTAGCTGATGATGTAGGCCTACTTCTTTCTCTCTGGTTGAGTCTGCGATTAGCTGCTTGCATCCACAAGTCAACAGCTGGTTTTGGGTCGAAAGTCTCTGTTGTCATCTTAGACAAGTGGATGTAATCAAATAAGTATGTGAACATAACCAATAGCCTACCATAGCCAATAACAAATTAATGTAACTTATTTTATTTGTGTTGTTCATTCAAATCTTATTTTACCTTAACATTTATTTATTTATGCATTTTTTTTTATCTCTCCAGTTTTAAAGGATATTTTTGGTTACTGTCCTATAGTATACATTGGAATGATTTAAAACCTGTTTATCCCAATAATTACAAAGGAGTGCCTTGGAAATATGTGTTTACATAAATTGTGACCAAACCGTTTGAACTTAGACTAAGAGTCCTTTACCTCACTGAGCTGTAGTTAACTTATCAGCCTCTCAGTCTGACTGGAGAGGACTCTCCCTCCACATTATTGTAGAAACATCTTCTTCTTATCTCCGTTAGAGCAGCTAGCACGGCACCAGATTATAATAACAACAGCGCTGGTACCACCCTCCCTCTCTCCCTCGCATTTTGTCTGTGAGCTGCGGGCGCCAGATAAGCCAACATCCCCCATTTTCATCACTTACAGCGCCCATCGTACAGGGCAAATGAAAGGTGGAACCGGGGTGAAAAGGGTGTTACATTTACTTCATTGTGAATATTGTTACATCAAGGCCGAAAATTAGGATGAGCCCCAACGGTCAAAAAAAAAAAGTTCCCTCCCAGAACTGCCAGCGCAGCACCTCCCCAGATCTGGCGCCCTAGGCGAACATCTAGCCAGCGCTACGGGCCAGCCCTGAGTTCATATCATGGTTCATATGCAACTCGCAAATATATTTCTCTCTCTCTTCTCTCTCTCTCATCTCTAATCTCTCTCCTCTATTTTCTCTTTTCTCTTCTCTCTCTCCCTCTCAATGTTGGTACGCAAATGCGCTTTGTTTCAAATGACCCGGTGCTCTTTTTTTGGCGGAGGTGCGCATGCGCACCTGCGCACCAGTTATGTGCAGCCCTGGATATAGTAGTTATCAAATAAGTATAAGATGTGCACAGTTATGATATGTTTTACAGATGTAATGCACTGTTGTTGGGGGGAGAGACCGCCCCTTCCATATGAGTGTGTGTGTACGGCGGGAATAAGGCGTGCATGACGAGACGAGTTGTGTTCGTATGTGGAAAAGTCATACTCAGTGCGGTGAACGCTGGTTTTATTGCTACTGTATCCGTAGCCCCCCACGCAATAGTTGGGACTGTGTAATGACGTCAGTAAAAAAGGTTTGCCCCCCCCAAGCGCAAATGTCAAACTCCGCCTATGCCTTGAGGTTAAAGTAAACACATTGATTTCTATAAACTGACTTTAGTGTTTCCGCCTCTCTCTGATCTGCCTGTTAAATTATTAAAAGAACAAAAATATAATCAAACTATTTAGGGATCACCATGTTAAGAGGTTATGGCATACAATAAGGCAAATTGCAACACTGTAAGGTGTGTATTATATGGGGGTCACTAACTTAGGATACCACAAACAATATCATATATTGAGGTCATTAGCCCAATTGTATACCTGTAACAAATGTTTGACTTGCCACCAAACATATTTATTAATATGTATTTATATTGACATTAATTTAACTGTTACATTATATTTTCCTCATTGAATGTGGAGCGTCCACACAGCAGCGTGCGTTGACGCTTGGAGGTGGGCGTATCTGAAGCTTGGGGATTTTTTGCGAGCAACGCGACCAACAACCAATCACCTGAATCTCCCGCCCCCGACATACAAAGCAATAGCAAAGTTAAAACGAAGTAAACTGGATATAAAATCCCCAAACAGGCGAAAACCTACCAGTTTCACCCACTGTCTCTGCCACCTCCCTCCATGCCTCGCTCCTCCGGTTTGTATCCCGGTAAATCAACAGAGACTGATCATACAGCACCGGGTGATTCACTACCGCTATAATGAATTTTCCCTCCATTTTTTTGAATATGAGGAAATGACCTGCGTAATCTCTCCCAGCATACACGCGGTTTGATTGGCTAGCGATTGTACTGGCAGATTTGCATAAACAGGATTTCATTGGCTGACGCCTCCGTCGAGGCGTCAAAAGTTGAACATTGCTCAACTTTTGACGCCAGCTACGCCAGCAACGCTCCACGTCGCTTCCCAAAATGCAGTTCGGCTAAAAGTGACGTCACCCCATTCAAAGTGAATGGGCAGAAGCGTTGGAAGCTTCAACGCACGCCGCTGTGTGGACGGCCGTAATGGTGACCTCAAGTAAGCTAACTGAATTTGACATTATCATGGCTTTGCTATCATGTTCTGTAGCAGTTGAGATATTCACCCAAAAAACGAATTTGAGATAAAGGGAACAAAACACAGTTAAAAAAGAAAGACTGGCTAACAGGAAATACTACCAACAAATGCTAACGTTATCTTGTTTGTTCGTTTTTTAGTTGGTCAGAAATACTAGTCACTTGCATTAGTTACTCTTTATTTTGTCTGGATTCAAGTCATATTTGATGAAGATGTAAAACATGTAATGTTATATAATCAGTTTACACTCCAAAATTAGCAATAGGCCTACACTGAATTTCAATTATTAGCATGTTTAGCTTCCAAACACAGCTGCTAATGGTTAGCTAAGACGATGAAATTGAAAACGTTGCTATGTCCTTGTTTTAGCTGGAGCTTATATCTGTTTCTCAGTGTGTTACAGTAACAAAATATAATACTATCATTACAAAATGCAGGGGTCGGTGTCTTTCAGTCAAGGTCTTGGTGTGTGTGTGCCAGTGTCCAGTCGGCTAAAGAAAAGCTGCATTGTCCAGTGTTTGCTTTGCACAGGAGTCCTTGAGTGACTGTTACAGGGCAACACGTAAAAGGGAGATAAAAAGTCTGATAGTTTGAGTTTCTGTGATACCTTCCACACACACACACACACACACACGGAAAATCCTAAAATAAACACTTTATATCTTGAGTGCCAGCTGACACAAGTCATTCTCTGTTAATCATACTCTACATTAGTGGGGATGTTCAGGCTACAAAGAAGGGAAACTTTGAAAACACAAAAATGTTTAGTCAAACACACCTTTGCTACTTTCTAGCTGTAGTTAAACAGGCTGTCAGATTTGGCTCTTCTCCATCGCCAAATGCACACATACTGACAAACACACACACACACACACACACACACACACACACACACACACACACACACACACACACACACACACACACACACACACACACACACACACACAAATACCTGGGAAATAACATTCACTTCCTGCTGTAATGTCTACAAGTCTGGCCAAGTCTTTTCATTCTTAATCAGGTATTTTGATCAGTAGATGACACACATGTACAAACACAAATATCTTGTTTTTTTCTGCAGCTCCAGCTGAAGCAGGCCATCAGACTGGGCTCTCCTCCGTCCATCATGTGTGTGAAGAGAGCGGACGATGCTGGAACCATGTCTGAGGACGACGGCCTGCCCTGTAGTCCCCCTGAATACAACGCGCTTCACACAGTCATGGTAACACATTATTGAGTGATGTCCCACCCTGCAGTATACCTGAATGCTATTTTCAGACGGCGCTGCTAACAGTGATTTTGTCTCTTCGTGTCAGAATAAGGCTCAGAGGAACAGCCGCATGAGTCTGGAGGGAGTAGACAGTGGCGATGACCAGGTAAACAAACACACCACCAATTCAGTTTGCACTCCTATAAAATGGTCTCTCGTCATAGCCAACTAACCCAGACTTTAAAGGACAAAGTTTAAACATGAGTTAATCAGACTTTACACACCTTCCTCTGGAGACACAAAAGGCTTTTTACAACTTAATTGGACAAATAAAGTAGAAAATGTGTGCCCATTTTAAGTTCTGTTGAATTCAAAATAGATCTTTATTAATGCTAGGTAGCTTAGTAACATTTCCACTGACTGTTGCTAGCAATGTAGGTAGCATACACAAAGGTATATTTCTGAAACAGGAATCATGATTCTGTGCAATACAATGTGTTGACCTGATGTAGTGACAATGATGTTATCATCGCTCACAAAGGTACAGTGGAAACAATCAAATATGGAGATATCATGGTTAGTTGTTTTATTAAACAGCTACCGGCGTAGTGCTAATGTATTGTTGTAAGCTAGCAGCGGAGGTAACCATAAAAACATCAAACTTAACTTGCTGTTTTCAATGCAAGGCTCTGTGCCCAACCTCACGGTGAGCAAAGAGCAAATCGTGTTTTATGTAAATCCGTCTTTAGGAATAATGCTGTGTTGTAAACAATAAATATCCTGTGTTTGTACAGGAAACTCAAATAACTCTCTGCTAGCTTCTTTATGCCATCTTTAATGCTTAATTCATAATTATTGGAGGGTTTTTTCACATGGGGACAGATAAACTCCCAAAGACAAACAAAATGACTGCCATGAAGAATTTAATATGTTTCACACGTGTTGAATTTACTGACGATGTAACTTTCTACATTGCAACTGTACATCACTGCTTTCCGTCATCCTCCAAGATGATCCACTTCTAAACTCCAATATGTGGGGTTATATTCACTCACTGTCATTTGTTTCTATGATAGCACCCAACCCAGTCTCACGGCATTTCGTGTTATAGTGTCACAACATTTAATCTATTGATTCATGTTCACCAACACGATTTCCCCCTTTTTTTCGTGTCAGACAGAACTATTTTAAAAGCAGATCCCTATAAAGCATATTCATTACTCGTTATTCTCTAATTGTTCATTAAAAACTGTATATAGTGGCTATTTTGCACATCCCTTTCAAGATTTTCAAAGGTTTATTGACATATCATATACACAACTACGGTGTAGTTATCCAATGAATGAAAAACTTGGGTTGCAGGTTCCTCAACTGTGCATTACAAGACATCTATCAATATGTGTGTATACCTCCACCATTAAACTGTCATATTCTGCACATTTCTTGTACTATCTACATACATAAGAGTATAATTCATATGTATAATATCAGTTAAAATAAGTGCTTCAACATAGTTAGCATTGCAGGAAAGCAATATATTAGATGTTAAGTACTTTGTCAGGCTTAATATGTATCTGTTGATACCCCCAAAGCTTTTTTCTTATTTAAAAGAAGACCTTAATCTAAAGTATTCTTTAATGTTTAAATAAAGGTTAATTAGTTTGTCTGTTTTGCACATCCTCATATTAATATCTTTGTACATCCGGCACTAAACTGTTTTATTGTAGAGATCACTTATGGCGCGTTTCCACTGCAGGCCTCGCTCGGCCTCGCTCGGTTTGGTTAGGCCTTATTAGGCCCGGCTCAATTTAATGCTGCGTTTCCATTACAGTTTAGGAACTGGGGCAGTTACTATAGTAACGCAGTGTAGGCGGAGCCGTGACGTCATCTTCAATGAGAGCCCCAGAAAAACAACACAGCCGTTAGCTCTTAGCATTCAGAGCTCACAGCTCCTCATATCTGTTCAGAAACTTGACAAAAGTTAAACAAGTACAAACCACAGACTGCCTGTGTCATGGCGAATACAGTCGCTGGTTTATTTATGTCTGTATAGGCCGTTGTTGTGAGTGTGGACGGTCGGAGCATATATAACGTTAGCTTAGCCAAGCTACATTTAGAAAACACGCATTTTAAAAGGGTTTTTCGCCTGCCGTCTGTCTGCAGACTTGTCAAAGCATTAATTCATGGTTTTTACTAACCGGTATCAGTATGTTGTTACTTCGGCATCATTTTGAAACGTGTATTACAATTAATTCACGGTCAAATATGTTCATGTTGTTGTAGTTGTAGCCGCCTTGCCAGCGATTCTCTCTCTAGTTTAGCATACTCAGCCCGACTCAGCCTGGTTGTTCCTGGCCCTAGAACCACGATTTAGTCGGGCCAGAAAAAAGGTGAAAAGGTAGCCCCGGGCCAAAACTAGGCCAAGTGGAAACGCAACCAAAAACGGGCCCCGCACAGCTCGGCACGCTTAAAGCGAGCTACCCGCTGCAGTGGAAACGCGCCATTACAGTATCTGCTTGATTTTTTATATTCTATATTTCTATCATTGACTTTCTACTTCCACCCCCCCCCCCCCCCCCCCCCCCCCACACTTTCCTCCCACTCTTAATACTTTTTTCATCAAATATAACATATTTAAAAAATAATTCAATAACGCGCTTTAACCGCTAGGCAGTGCACACAAGGTACACACAGCATACAATGCCATAATAACTTTGTATTATTAGTGTAGGACACTTATGTATGTATAACATCTGAAGATGTGTAGTTTTATTCATGTTTTCACATAATTTTACAGGATATTGCTATATTATTTCACATTTTTTACTTCTACACATTAATATCTGATTTGTAAAACATCACAGACAGAAAGGTATATCCGTCATTTAATGGTAAGCTATTGAAATTGTGATTCCATAGCTGTGTTTCCCATCACCCAAAACCCCTGACTATACTCTCAACTCAGTATTTACATTCTTATATTCAAAGAAAATCAGTCATATCTTTAAAAACTACAAGTCCTATCTATCAGCTGTGCACCGTTATGGTGTAAATATAACCTATCTACCAATTGGATGAAATATAAAAGTCAGCCGAATTACTATTGATACTGCAAGGAGACGTATTGTGTGAAGAGAAATTGAAGATGTTGTTTAATTGCTGATATATTTATGATCCACATCACGTACACATCACGTATTCAGTTTCGGCGGCAGTTGTTCCAGTTTGTCCAGAAGTCTTCTAATCAGGGTTCTATAAATAAAGAACTACGGCAGATGTGTAATATTGAATGCAGCCGAACCGTTTATTACAATGCCGTTATGTGATGACTTTCAAAGAGAAAAGCAAGCACACTCGGAATAAAGTATTATTTCCTTTGTTTTAAAAATGTTTTTCGGATTTCATATCGCATTAACACCATATCCCAACGTGCATTGCGGCTAAACAATCCAATCACCAAGCTTCAACCATAGCTGAGGATCTTGGGTAATCAGTTCAGTGGGTGTGTATCTGTTAACAGTTATTTTATTTTGAAATTCAGTTCCTGACGGACGGCAAAAAAGCCAGAGATTATAGAATTAAACAAATAAATAAAAACAAGGATAATTGTGTGTTATTGTTGAGTAAATAACAGTGTGTTATTTAGAAAAGAATAACAAATTAGAAGGAAAAAAATATTTAAAAAATACAGATTTCAGTATTCTAAGGCTCTGAGCCCCATTTATTTTCCTCATTGACGGCAAAAATAGTCTGACATTATACGATTTAAAATCAAAAACAATAATCGTGGCTTGATATTGAGTAAGAACATGTTTTTATGAACCACACAGCTTCCGGTCTTCCAAGACCAGAGCGGACAAAAAGACGTGGTGCAGGCACAAAACATACTACCAATAGAAATACATTGCTTTTAAAATCGTTCTGTCTGACACGAAAAAAAAAGAAGGGGAAAATCGTGTTGGTGAACACGAATCAATAGATTAAATGTCGTGACTATAACACGAAATGCCGTGAGAGTGGGTTGGGTGCTATCATAGAAACAAATGACAGTGAGTGAATATAACCCCTTCCCCATTCAAGTCATCTCATGTGAATTCGATAGTAAAAACATCTTATGATCCAATCTAATCACTGAAACATGACTAAATAAAAGGCGTGCAAATTGACCTCTTGCTCTTTTTCCTTTTCCTAGTTTTATTGCCCTTTCTTTCTTTGTTACGTCTCTTCTTTCTCCCTCCTCTAATTGCTGTTTGTTGACCTACAGTATGAGTGTTTGTGCTTTAGCCCATGTGACCTGAAATGTGCCTCAAGCCAACTAACACCACTGTCGGTTAAAAATAATTCCTTCTGCTAAGTACTTTTCTGATGGAGAGTACCAATTTGCGATATGGAAAATGTCCTAAAATAACTTGAGTATCCTTTTAGCCTCACTGGCTATAATGTGGGCAAAAAGCACAGTCAGCAAAGTATGACAAATGAGCATTTAATGATAGTGCCGTTATAGCAATTTCAGACGGGTCTTTGGCTAGTGATTTACCCGCTAAAAGGACCACAAATGACCCGCTACAAAGACATGCGCACAAAACCTGGAAATATCCCTTTTAAAGTGCATTCCTAACAAAGGAATGTGGTCAAAGAGGACTGCAGTGACTTATGAATTGCAGTCACAGTGGCACTTTCTTTTTGAGATTTTCCACTCACTGAGAACTCACAGAGACACAGATTTAGATTTTCACCTGAAAATGAACTTTAATGTCATTGCAGGGCAACCGTATGGTTGTAGCTAGGCAACAAAAAAATTCGAGTCAGATTGGGTAGTTGGGTCTGGGTCAGTCTGTTTTCATATATACTGTCAATAACAGATGGAGGCTCATTGAGTGGCTTTGAGATTTTAATAAAGGACTTGTTTTTACTCTGGGTGTTAAAGCTGATCAGTATTTTTCAACATGCCCTTATACCTTTCACAGACTTATTAACAAATATGTTTTTTCGTCATTGAATCCCAAAACTACAGTGGCCAACAGATGCAAAAACGTCACAACGGCCCAAAACACTTCCATTAGGAGAAAAGACTAAAATGTCTGAATCGATCGAAATATAAAAACTAGGGCTGTCAAGTTAACGCGTTAATAATGCATTAACGCAAAAAAAAAATTAATGCCACTA